ATTTCCAATTGAGACGCGTTTGAACGCGAGCGTTCGTTGAAACGCGTGTAGTCGTATTTTGCAGAAAACAACAAATAGACGCGTTTCTATCTAAGATGCGTTTGAATGCAATCATTAGTACAAGCGCGTTTAGACGCATCTATGAAACACGTTTGCACGCGTTTCATCCGTGCCTTTAAGTCGAAACGCATCAAGATACGTTTATAAACGCGTTTAAACGCGTCTCATCTGCGTTTGATTTTCACATGGGAGATGAATGGAAAAACAACAGCAAACCGCAGGGAATTCTCGTCAGTATTCAATAGAGCTATCATTTCTTTCCTTTCTATATCGATCTTTCTATAACAAACTGAAAAAGGAAGTTTAAGTTTGAGAAGAATTTCAGTCATCAAACTTCGATTAAACACAAACTCATTAGTGAATTAGCTATAATGATGAGTTATTCTATGTAAAGATCGATAGTGATAGCAAAATGATTATTTTGGCTTTTTCATTAGTTAACTGTATATCTGCACTGGAACTTAACTACACATTAGACAAATCTCAACATTTGAATTCAAATTTGCATCAATTATTTTATATTATGGTGACAAGATGGCAGTTCTTCATTATCTCGACAAAAGTTCAGATAAGAATTGATCTATAGGAAACAATTGGTTTTATGCAAAAAGCAATAGATGAATAAATCCTGTTCGAAAAATGTGTTTACTTTTGAAAAGCTTTCGATGATTTCTTCAACGAATAAGCAATATATTTCTAGAGGAGTATGACAAGAAAGATTGATGTTCTACTATAAAATAAGAATCTTCAATTTTTATCGCAATTACAGAATTCAATATGTTTAATATTTACTGAGATTTGCCTACAAAATATAGCATAGTTCGTGTGTTCATAATAGAAAAACAGACTTCATAGAAAGAAAAAATTTCAAATAAAAACTAACTACAAAAAAAAAAATTACGAAAAGTTATTAATCAAATCCGAATATTATAATTGTTGTGTTGGCATTAGAGTACTGCGGGACAGTCCCGAATCCCGAAAAATCCCGTTTGTCCCGAAAAATTTTCGGGACGGGACAAACGGGATCGGGACAATATAGAAAAAATCTATGTCCCGAATTTTTCATCCGTATATGAAATAGGCTAGTATTTATTTGAGCAATAAAAATATTGAAATGAGCAATAATTGAAATATAATCTAGCAATAATTTTCAAGCAATAAAAATAATTTATTTAAGCAATTTTACACTACTAAACGTACAATAGTTAATTCATTAAATCGCAGTAGTCATTTCATATTTTAGGAATAAAAAAAAGAGAAACTACATTCTTGTCAGTTACAATTGAAAATAAAAAAAAAGAAAAATGAAAACGGAGTACATTATTATGTCAATAAAGCTTTTCTTTACTTTAGATGGTCTGTGTCTTTTTCTTTTTTGTATCTATTTCCACATTTTTTGTCTGTGGTGGAGTTTTACAATATTTTAGCCTGATGGATATACCAATGATGTGCTTGCAAATATAATTTTAAGGAATGATCGGCATTTTCCTTTCCTCTCATATATATCTGATGGACTTTTCCTTTCTTTCTATTCTTCTTGCTTTCATGCTGTTCCATGGATTTTTCTTTCGTTGTTCATCATCTATGAGATTTTCCATCTTATGGATTTTCCAGCACTTGCCATCGCCCTATATATAGCGTTACGTTTCTTATATGGATGCAGATCAGGCTTCCCGATTAGGGGGGGGGCTGGGGGGGGCTTGCCCCCCCCCCAAAACTTGAAAAAATGTCCGACTTTCTGCGAAAATTTCTTACACTTTCTGCCAAATTTTTGAAAATTTCATAGTAATATCTGGCAAAAACTCAATTTTTAAGCACTAATCACCATTTTTCTGGCAGAAAGTCGAAGGACAATACTTTCTGTCAACAAAAGCTCGTAGACAGTCGATCAAATTAGCATTCGTTGTTCAGTTTCTGCCGAAAAGTCAGGTGAGGCACTTTCAGCCAAAATTTTTGGACTTTCTGCCAAAATTTTTAGACTTTCTGCCGAATTTTTAGCCCCTCCCACTTTTCAAAACAATCGGGAACCCTGATGCAGATATAGGAGATACACATAGACTGATACATATATAAATACGATGAGATTGAGATCTCGCACCCTTTTCATAGAAAATTTATCTTATATAAAGTTTACCTTCAATTTAAATAAATTATTGCTCGTTCAGTATTATTACTGCTAAATTTAATTATTGCTTATTTAAATTATTTTATTGCTCAATTAAATATAAGTCTATGAAATAGAGTACTGCGGGACAGTTCCGAAACTCGAAAAATCCCGTTTGTCCTGTCCCGCGGGACAATCGGGACTGTCCCGAAAAATTTTCGGGACGGGACAAACGGGATCGGGACAATTCAAAAACTTTCGGGACGGGACAAGCAGGATTCGGGACACGAGAAAGTTTGTCCCGCAGACCTCTAGTTGGCATTGTATCAAATTGTTTTGCACCATCAATTGGTTTGTTCCAAGACAGTCTTGATTTACAATAGACTTCCATTGATGGTTTAGGAATATCATCAAATAATCCCATTTTGATGATCCAGGCACCAGGTATACTCGGTGTAGATGAATAAATTGGACTGCCACAGTTATCACAAAAAGCACGTTGAACCGTCTTTCCACTATCGGTTTTACTATCTTGATAAATTTTTGGTTGTCCGATGATTCTCACAGCCGATTCCGGAACAATAATATTGGTTGATGCCATAGAGCCGGTAGCTTGACGACAGTTCTTGCAGTGACATAAACAAATTTTGCCATCTCCATCGAGTGCTTCCTTAGCAATCGAAATTTTAATTTCTCTACATAAACATTCACCAGTTGTAGAACTCATTTTCGTTTAGACTTATTTTTATTTTTTTACTCAGATATATGAAAGAAGGTGTGCGTTTATATTAATTAAGATAAAAAATGTATGCAATATGTAATATTATAAAGGTGAGTAAATATTAGAGGCAGGAGACATAGTACCCATTCGCTCTCACAGTCGTTCTGTTTCTTTTACTACGAACGAAAGAATAGCGACGGAGAAAGCAACAATTTTTGAGTTGAAGCGAATACAAAATGCTCGCAATCATACTGCTTTAGTTTATAAATCGTTACGCATGCGTTTGTGCTTTTTCTTCTAAATGCCAAGAGTGTGTTTATGAAGATATTGAGAGAGGTAATAGCGTCTTCGCTTTATCTAGAGACAGCAATTGAAATATGGGTGTATTTTTCAAAAATTACTTCTTATATGCTATTCATCGTCTCTTATATGACGATATTTCAGGCTGAGACATATCTCCAATATGCATATGAAAAGGTGCCATCCTTTCGGATTGTTGTTCATTTGAAGCAATAGCTTTGGGAGGAATGAACTTCTAAAACTATAATGGGTGTGGGTGGGTGTGGGGTGTGGGTGTGGGTGGGTGTGGGTGTGAGTGGGTGGGTGTGGGTGTGGGTGTGGGTGTGGGTGTCGGTATGGGTGTGGATGGGTGGACTGTGGGTATGTTCGTAATTATGCCCGCATCATCCATACCCACACCCACGCCCACACCCACACTCACCCACACTTACCCACACCCAAAAAATCGCAGTTATGATGTAACTGCGTCGCATTCACTATAAAAAAAAACTATTGATTAGGAATTCAAATCTGTAGTTCGATATCTTATTTTGATATTTTTATTCTGAATTAATTTTATTTATAATAAAAAAAATGAAAGACTAAAAGAAAATTGTAAAATCACAATAAAAAATTAAAATTAAAAAACAACTAGAGTGAAAAAATTTTCAATGAAAAAGTTAAATAATTAAATAAAAAAAATAAAAATTTAATGCAAAAATATTAAAAATTTAATCTAAAAAAGGAAATTAGAAATTAAAATAAAAGGATAAAAAATTTAATCTAAAAAATTATTTAAAAATTAAAATAAAAACATTAAGAATAAAAAGAACCTAAATTGAAATATTTGTTAAAAATCCAAAATGAAACAATTGAATGAAAAGATCAGAAAAATAACTAAATTAAAAAATTAAAACTAAAACTAAAACAATATAAAAATTGATAATTAAAACTTAACAGAAGAAAACTCTGACCTGGGATTCGAATTCGGTGATCCCAGAAAACTTCGTCCACACTATTTTCATTTTGAAAATCTGAATTTATGGCTGGATAGTGCACCGACTGTAGAATGATGAAATATGAACCGTACTATCACAATGACGTTCTTTTATACGGTCATCGTCTATCTAAGTCTTAGCGTTGGGTATGACCAATTACAAATAAGCCGAAATCGTTCGTGATTGGTTCTATCAAATACATTGACTCGTACGGTACGAGTACTACAGCGCACTTGTGCTCATCTGCATCGCAGTAATCATAGTCTTTGGCAGCGGTGTTCACTGAGACGCAGTTATAAAAAAAGAGGCGACATGTGGTGAGTGCACAAAAAAATGTTTAGGATTATTCATGAAACTAAATAATCGTAAGGTTAGAAATATTTTTTTCTTTTCATTTGTCACTGAGTAATCACTGTTGCGAATATACCAAGAATGGACTACTGCGTAGTTAATGATATACTTTTAGTAGTATTTATACAAATATAACTAGCTTTGCTGTACGATATCAAGAAATAATATTATATAGAGAAATAGTCGATTAGAGATTTTTGTAATAGAAGTGCCACTAAATCAACAAAAAAGAAATTCTTCAGGTGGGCAATAATAATGAATGAAATGTAATCTCAAAGCGTATTTTAGTTACATATCTGCGTTTTTCTAGAGTATTTGATAAATTTTCTTTTTTTTTTTTATTGAAGGATTATAGAAATAATATGCATATAAAAGATACTATACAATATTTAGAGGTTTTTAAAAACGAATAACCACAAATATTAGATTTTTTGCAACACAAAGTCAAATTAAGGTAAGCATGTATGCTAAGGTTTCCGTTGAAAGATGGTACAGTGATACTGATTTAAATGACGTAAACTATCTCTTGTTAAGATTGACAATTTCAATCGGTATAAATTAGGAGTTGATAATGAAATAAATAGATGCTTTTACATGTTTTAACACTTAGCCTAGCGAGGGTATGAAGAGGGACAATTTCAGTGTATAGCTGAACCCATTAAGCTCAGATGTTTAAGACCATCATTACGGCAGCAAATGATAAATAAACACAATGATTGATTAGTATGAAATGTTTTGATATGTACGTCATGAATACGACTGAAGCGTTCAGAACATTTTCTCAATTTTCACTGACTTTTACCGTCATTTTTTTGTCTTCCAAACGGATAATATTACAAGTTTCTTGAAAACCATACATCATTCCCATTATCTTTTAGCAAATTTTGCGTTCTAGATAAAATATTAACAGTCGAGACTTCATATTCACTTGTTATTCGGCGTTATAATTAGCAATACACGTCATTTGAGAGTTTCGAATGAGAGAGTCTGGGTATAGATCGCTGAATGATAAAGAGAAGATGCGCTCCCATACTCACTCACTCACACGCACACCCTCATATTGATAAATTTTTCTTTTCCACTCAAGTTGAACGATAATTGAAGATTTATAGTAAAAGGATCATTGACCTGTTTTATGAAGAAGTCTTTATTAAATATCGTAGCGTATCCAAGCAGAAAGTAAAAGTATTTTAAATGATTAGGAGACAGGAGGTTTTGGGACATAATGTTCAGAAATTCTGATCGGTGGTCGATCAAGTCGACAGTTCGATGGAAACACGATTGTTCTTTGTTTGGTTCGTTGTTTGGAAAAGGGTTCTAAAAGTAGCAGGAAGAATGTCCAATGTAAATAGTTCTTCATTGCTGGACTGTTGCATATTTCTTCTTTCTTTTTAATCTGTACATCCCGTTGAATATTCTCTTCGAAAATCTAGCTTTGTTCTATTTCTAATCAGCTTGAAAATAAGCTATCGATTTTTCGGATCGTGGATGGCAATCGGGAATCAGAACAATTGCATTCTCGTGTGTATAAGATATTTTCAGAGA